AAAAAAGTAAGGAAAATGGAAGTGTAAATAGAAGGATACTCAGATTAAGCAGCAATAGGATAACCTGCTTCGGGGTAGATGGTCAATTTAAGATCACTGATGGGAACAGAAGTTCTATCAAGTAATTAAGACATTTCTGGGCTCTGGCATTTCAGTGTGCTGACATGGCCCTGACAGTTAGTAATAAGGACATTGTGGACTGGTGCATGGAGGGCCCAGCTTGACTCACCGAGTGTTGTACTCTCACCAAAACGATGTGAATTTCTTGCCAAAAGCTGACACGGCTGTTGGAGTAAAGGAAAGAGAAATCAGTGCCTGAAACCATCTGATATAGTATAAGGCTGAGTCTGAAGCTCTATCTTCTTTTAACCAGATGTTCAATTTATAGACTTTTTTTCCTAAAATATTTATATATGACGTGTTGGCATCCATAAAGCACCTCAAGGCGGTTCATAGCAATATCAGTGCAATATAGATATAACAGATATGGCAGTCAGTAAAAACTCTCACAATTAACAAAACAAAAGTGCTGGGGGAGTTAGCTTGTTGAATGAAAATGGCTCTTCTAAAGCTTGGGTGATGCCCTTTCTCAGTAGAACCCCCCATACTCTGAAACACCTTGCCTCCTCTGGACCTCAAGGAAAGCTCTGAAGGGCTAGCTATTTTGCAGGAAGCTTGGGCACTAATTTAATACTAAAGGTATGAAACCCTTTAGATGACCAGTAGTGTTGGGTTGGAGTGGTGGCTTTGCTTTTTTGTATCTTTATGTGGCTGTCTTTGAATGTTATGTACTTTGTAATGTACATAAAATGTATATTTTTATGTACTCTGAGACCAAGAAAATAGAAAGGACACAAAAGGTGGTATAAAAAAAACATACAACTAAATAAATGAGACAATTGATCCTTTTTTGGGAGAGAATTAAACAACAAGGTGTTGCCATCCAAGAAGACATTAACTTTTGTACCAGAGAGTGATACACCATACTTGGTGGCTGAGCACTGAGTAGGACTTCCAATGAAAAGTCAGTGATGGTCCTTCAGAGATCCTGTTCCCAAACAGTGTATAGTTTCAGACATTGTAACAAACACTTAGCCTGCTGACAAACAGAGCAGCAGCACAGATGAAGAGCAGCAGATGATCATTTGAAAAGTGAACACTTGAAAGTACAGTATTGTGACTCAGAATTCTCACCTTCTGTCAATTTGCCTGCTTGTTCTGCGGCCCCTCCTGGCAGGATTTTGGATAAGACACTTTCACCCTCTGCTCCTGGCTGTCCAGCTGCTGCTCCTGTAGATAAGGATGCTCCTGTTGGTTTGGGACCCAATTTAATGCCTATGAGAGGAAGTGGTGAAATAAATTGATTTGTATGAATTAAGTAAAATATATGTCCTGCTTTATCACCTAGAGCAGGTCCAGGTAACAGTTTGTAAAATTTTAATTATCTTTACTCTCTATAGAAATATAACCAGTCTTGTAAAAAAATGTAGTGGCAAGCATTCATTTGTTCATAATATTTATATCCAATCTTTCCATACAGAAAATGGCACTCACAGTTTCTAATAATAAAGAAAATACCTAAGAACCTAATTAATTAAAGCCCAATTAAAATAGATTTAACATAATAGATAGAAAAAGATACAGTTTAACTAAATATTCAGTAAAGCCATCATTTAAACTGTTCAAAAGGCTAAATTGAATATATGCACCTTTATGTCCTTTCTGAAGATAGAAAGATGAGAGACCAATTTGAACTTCCAATGAAATGGATTGTACAGTGTGAGAGCAAGTCAAGAGACGTTCATGTCCTATCTGCCCAATAACCGACCCTCTGTAGGAGGGGGCAGTTCTTACAGACACATGAAATAACAGGAAGTTATTGATAGATATTTCTTAATGAAAGTAGCATTTTAAGTTGAGCTAAGTGAAGAACAAGCAATTTATTCTCGGTTTTTAATGAGGGCGAGATCTTCCATTCTCTCTGTTCACAGGAAAAAAACCCTAAGAAGGCTGCTTTCAGGCATCTTACTTGTGACACTTTTACAATGAGTTGCACAATGCTAGTCTCCTGTGAATTAATTCTATACTAATTGGTGTACACTTCGAGGCCAACTGTGGCCAAACCTTTCCTTTCTTCTTGATCTTGTTTAGGGTGTTCTGTGATCATTTTGGAATTCATTCTGAAAATGGCAAACGGAATCTTCCCTCGGAATACTGGCCCCACTAGTGCTCTCTCAAGAAATGCCCACAATGGCAGGTGCTGAAAATACCTGCCCAGGTGAGAAGCTGCTTACTGACCTCCGACTGTCCCCTGTGGTTGTGTCTGGGGTGCTTTCCCCACCTGTGGCACTTTTGTGGTAGGCTTGGATACATCCGGCTGTTCTGCTTTAGCCTAGAACAGGAAACAGAAGTTTCATCTGTTGATTTAAGAATGCCCTTTTCCATCCTCTGATTTAGGAGATAGCAATGCATGTTAGAGAAAAATAGTCATAACATGGGAAACCTATCTGCTGAGAACACTCCTAGCAACTTTGTTGCCATAATTTTAAAAAGCCGACTCATCTTTGTTATTTCTAATTAGCCCTCTACTCGTCCTAATTCTCTATAGATCCCCTTCCCTCCAGTGTCTCTACGTTTCTGTAATTCTAGGCTCTATGACAGAGCAGGGTAGCCTTTTTCAGACAGCGGCTCACATTAAACCAGCGGGTGGCAAACTGGGGACCACATTTCAAAAAATAGTGGAGGGCACAATCAAGCAAGGCCAGGTCAAGAAATAACTATGATGTGAATGTATTCAAGTTACTTAACTGAATACAATTAAATATGAAATCCTCTGTGTATTTAAATATTCTGACCCGTCAAATTAAAAATTAAATATGGTATTGCATCTTTGAGCCCTTTGGGGAATCAAACCTCAAACTTGAAAGCAGCCCTGTGGTTGCAGGCTGTGCTGTCCTGTCAGCCCTTCAAGGTGGTCCAGACAGGAAACCAAAACCATGAGTACTAATACTACCTTTATTGTAAGGTTACAGTAACAGAGTCTTGCAAGTCTGAAAGCATTTTCCCACTCCTTTGCCTTTACTTTCCAGAGAACTAGGGAGGGTCCCTTCTGAGACAGTTACTCCACCCTCATTCCTCTGTGGGCTGAGATATCACTTGTTTGACTGTTGCCCTGACTGTAGCTCTTCCTCCTG